CCTATGACAGTTGACCCATCTAATATCTTGTGTGTTAAATTAATTTTAAATACCACACAAATACCTAATAAATTACAAAAATACATCAAAAACAGTGGCGCACAGCTTTTTAAAATTCAAATTTCAAGTGCTTAAGATGTATCATAGATCTCATTATTCTATATTATGTATTTTCCTGGGTCCCCACATGAGTCATCTCAGAGGGGCCCAGTATTCTTGTGTATATGAAATAAAATAAAATAAATAACCCCTTCCCCCCTCAAAAATAAATCCCAGTTGCTCCACTGATCATAAAATATAAATTATTTATCAAAACTTATAATGTTAAGTAAAAGGTTATATTATTTCATTTTTTATATAGATACAACATTCAACTCTATTAAAGAAAATTGATCACATTTATAATGCAGCGAACAAAAACACTTTAAAGAGATGCAATGATGGATCATTGAAGTATAATGTTGGTAGTTCTCTAAAACAATCAGATAAAAATAACTAGACAAAACAACCAGTTTTAGAAGATTTTTTGAACAACAAAAAATTAACTAGTCAAAGTAAGAATGTGTAATGTTCATTTTTATTTTTTGTTTTATCTATTAAAAAGTTTTTAATTGCAGCCTGATTTGCAGGTTAGGTTGATATTTACATGACTACATGACTATATACTGATACATTGCTAGTGAACGATACGGTTGTTAATGATTTAGAAGAAATCGACACATTCAACTTGAACATTCTAAATTATGAAGACCATGATTTGCCATATGCATTATCAAAACACCATCGATGTTATTCACACACGATAAATTTAATAGCAACAATGGTAATTAAACATTTATTTAAGTAGATAACCTAATATAGTTAAATTATAAAATACTAAAAATATTTTTATCAAAAACAATATATTTTGAGTAAGTATAGTGATCATGTTAAAACTATTAGTTAGTAGGTTTAACACTTAATACTCATAATCAAATTTGTATGAGTTGTAATACATTTAAAAATTAAATTTTTCTTTCAATTTAAATGATAAAAATATATGAAAAAAAATATTCTAAGATATAAGTATGAATATGATTGGTAATAACTATTTTTGATTTATCTATACCCAAATTTCAATTTTAAATATCAATAAATTATGTTTGTTTAATTTTGTATTATTAATTACAAATTTGTACAAATTTACTACAAAATAAGATAATTTATTTGTAGAACTTGTTTTTTCTAGGACTCTAAAAAAGCTTTGTCTAATCTTGCATACAAAAAACAGTCAAGAAGAACTTTTGCCAAGTCTACCGCTTTTTGAAACAAACAAGGTCGCTCAACTAAGTCAGCTGATTTATTCAAACAAAATCTGGGTGTTTATTTAATTGCACCCAACAAAACACTTTGGAATTCACTGTTTGAAGCAATGGTGCTGCTTAATAAATTAATTTAAAAAAATGAACTTAAGTTTAGAATAATAATGGACAATTTGGCTATTGGCTATTGGCAGGTAAATTGTAAATCTTAAAAAATTATTTATTATTTTATCTATAATTTTTATGAATTTTTTCAGATTTGATAGAAGTGATATTGATTTTGTGTGTCAACATCAAACAATTATGGGGCCAATTTCAATAAGCTTGGCTTTATTTAAGAGGTTGATTGCATAATTTACCCACTATCAAAAAAGTAAGATTAGTTGAAAACTTACACTATTAGTAATAATATTACATAAACATTTGTACTTAGTTTTCAGGTGTTTTTGAAGTACAACACTCCACTACCTAGCTGTGCATCAGTAAAGAGGGTGTTTAGTGTTGGTGATGCAACAATGCAAAAAAAAGAACAAATATGACGGATCAATATTTTAAACAAATAATGTTCTTAAAATGCAACACTCAAATGTTAGATTAATATAATATATTATGAATGATTCAGAATTAAATTGATTTTTTTGTTTTGTATTTGAAAATCATTTCAAATACTTTACTATAGAAAGTTTTTCTGTGGTATTTTCAATACTTTATTGTATAAGTATTTGAGTAATTACTCAAATGCTTTTTAATAAAACATATATGTATTAATATATATATACATATATGTATAAACATAAAATGTTAAGTATATTTACCAATATAGATAGGTTTATCAAATTTAATAATCTTGTTCCCTTGATTGACTGCTTTAGGTTATCAGTTATCACTGTTATTGGTACTGCGTTTAAAAGTGGACTTATAAATTAACTTCTTGTATAGCCCATTGTAGGTAAACAAGGGAGAAAATAATAATAAAAAAATCACAATATACTATGTAATATTATGTAGGTTTTTTTATTTGTTAAAAATCCATGAATTTCTTTTTGAAGTCTATAAAATTAATATAGTATTTTGTGGTTTTCAGTTCAAATTGGTCTTCTGTTGTTCATTTTTATACCAATTTTTTAGAGCCATGCCAGCACATAAACAATATTCTTGTGGATTTAGTTTTAGGAGACAAAATCCGGATAACATATATGATAAATGTTATTATTTGTACGAAGAAAAGTGTCAAGCCGAAGACTGCTTAAATATCATTAAAATATAATGTAGGTATCTGCTGTATAAAAATTAATACTGTTTTGTAATGATGTTAAGTTAATGTATTAGATAATGCTGATCCAATACAACTAAATAAAAAAATCCAAGCACTGCAAGTACTTTTAAATTTACCAATAGCTATAATGTAGAAATATTTTATTAATTGTTTATTTGCATGTTTAGCGAAATAAACTATAAAGGTGACAAAACAGATCAAACGGTATGAGACAGGTATTAAACTTCTTATAAAAATAAAAATAAAAAAAAAAAACATTGATAATTTCTACTTATTATCATACATTTACATTGTAGTCAATTACTGTTGTTGATAAAATATACCAAGAAATTTTTGGTTTTATTTTCTATAAGCCAAGTATTCAAACGTCATTTGTTTTTTTTTTTGGAAATATTTGTCTTCAAGTTAGATAAAGCCGATAAAGGTATTCATCTCGTTAATAACAATTAACTTCAGCTACTTTTGACAGTTGATGTATAAAAACTTACTATTTTATAAAACTAAATTATACAATAATCCCACAAATAAATAAATAAATATTACAAATAACACATTATAGTTTAACCGTTAAGACTAAAAACAATATTGCTAGATGCCGGACGTAAAAATTGACTCGCGACAGTAGTGTATTTAAAAATCTAAATGGCCTATACTCAGAGTGCCGTGTTCTGCATTGTATAGATTTAAACACTCCCAATAATATTCTGTTTCGGAATTTGAAATAAAAAATGTATCGTGTAATCCAAAGAAGTCAAAAACTCGAAAACTGATGACAACATATTATATTATAATACCTATCATCTATGGCAAAAGCCGATCGTCGTCACTCACCGGAGACGATTCGCAATTCTAATAATTTCATTGAACAAAATGAAATGTGTATGGCAACAATAAACATTTACTCACATATTTCATTTTACTCAAGTAATTTTTACAAAAAATCTCGATTTTTCAATTCGGATTTAGATGAAGGAAGAAGTTGCTCGATATGGCGTCTGCACTCAAGATATGGCGCCTTGCTACAGCTATATATTACCCGAAGAGTCGATGTATACGTAAGTTTGAATACTTATTCTTTTGGGGCTTAAATATTTTACTTTTTAGTCTCAAAATTAAAATTTGTTGTGCTACCCGGGTGAAGTAGGGGCATATTTTTTATTCCAGAGCGCGCAACACAAAAAAATACGGTAGGTATCACAAACGACCACGGCAAATCCATATTATCCAGGTCGCAGAATAATAACATATTTATAAAATTAAATAGATATAAATAGTGTTGTGCATACTAGTCATATTACAGTAGTACACGGGAGTTTTTATGTCCTGCAAAATTTAACAATTTTTATTTTTAGTTTATATAAATGTTAAGTGATATATGAATATTACTATGCCGTCGGCTTGTGGCATGAAAGTAAATAAGGAAATTTTAAAATTTAAATATTCTCGAATACCTTAAAATATACCTAACCAATGCACTCAAAATGAATACGTAAAATATTAATTATTAATTTCGTGCTCGACAGCAGTATTCAGAGAAAAGATTTAAGTTGGAATATTACAAATTATAGTTGGTTAGTCGGTACTCGGTAAATTTGATGTATAAGGCACTGAATACCTATTTATGTTAAATCTAATATGTAATAATCACATTTATTTACAATAAGATTTGTATTTACTAACTCATAAAAAAAATGCCTGTGCTTTGAATATTTAAACACCACCTTCATCAATTATTAAATTAAAATAATAGGTACTTTATAAATTGTTGTAATTTAAATTTAAAAATTATAAACTATTTTGGTTATTGTTATATCTCATTTCATTATCTTAATGATCAAATCTCAAACATGGACCTCTTTGATATAAAAATTTGTAATATAATATCTATCTATGGTTTTAACTTATTGACGTAGTATAAATTATAATGCAATCCGTGGCGATTTTCTAAGTAGTTGCAAAGACGCGATCGATCTAAAATTTCAGTTAGCCAAGCAAAACTTAAGTTCAGTCATTGGTATCTGATTTATTCCGCAGTTCACACACAATAATCAAGGATTCCGCCGAAGCCCGAAAGCGTCGATGTTTAAAGTAATTAATTTTGGTTTCATATTTTTTTGGTGCTTAAATTTATTTTTTATACTTCAAATAAAAATTTAATTTCATGAAAAATAATAAGCTACCCCTGTGTAGACACATTATTTCTGAGAGCAAATGCGTAAAATACGAGAAATCAAATAATATACAAACGCCGCTCGTCGTCGTCGTTTTTCTGCTCCCTGATCGTAGGGTAATTTAAAGTTATTTCAATGTTAACCCTTAAACTTCTTTAAGATTTCGAGCGGAGCGATGAGTGTATTGATTTTACAATTTATTATTTAATTTTTTTTTGTTCCTGTCTTTAAGTTATTTTGGGAGAGTAAAAGTGCTTCGATTTTCTTCAACAGCATATTTTCTGTTAGAAATGTAAATAGTATTGGTAGTTCGAGGGGTCCAAATAAAAAAATTCTCTATAGTTTTCAAAAGCGGCAGAAAAAACAAATAAAAAATTAAGGAAAAAAGTGAATTTTTACAGAAACCCGGTTTCGACCAAATTGATTTTGGTTTTTGATGTAACTCTCAAAAAAAAAAAAATACCGTGGATATATATATAAATTTTTGCTGAATATTTATAACGGCGTTTTCTATAAACCATCAATTTTGACAACACATTTTTATAAGCGTTTGAATTTTGAATTTTGACAAAATTATTATAAGTCACGGAAATGTGCAAAATATTTTGAGTTAGAAATTCATAACCTTTTAAAGTATATTATTATATTTTATAGGTACCCACAATGACTTTTCAAACATACTTTTTTTAAAAATTAATTTAATCTACTGCGTAGTACTAATACTTACTAGTAAAATAAATTACTTTAATCACAATAATATAATCAAATATACTAAATAATTAAGTAATATTAAAGACTGACAGACCGTCTTCTTTCAGAATCGTTTTTCGTATACAATGATTTTTCATCGTTGAATTCAAACTTAACATCATCCATTACAGTGACCAACTTGTAATCTAATATACAGCAGAGTGACCTTCACATACCAGATTTCTTTAATTTAATTTTAAATATCTTAACATTTTTAACTTAACTGATTTTTATTGCTAAACATTTATTAAATAATGAGTTACTTTTAATCAAATCCAAGTTGCGTAATTTGTTTATAAAAAATGTAATAAAATTATAGTAAAAATTATTATTATTGATGATGCATACGGATAACATTAAAATTTACTTTTTATTATTTTAAAACCAGAAAACTAGATATTTAAGTAAATAAAAAAAAATAAGTTAGTTGTAAGTTTCCAAATCAATTTTAACTTAACTGAATTAAAAATAAAATTAGGAGAATTATTAACTTAAAACTTTTTGAAATGTTTCATATCGACTTAACTTAACTCAGTTAAAAATTTTCATTAACTAGCCCAGGGTTGTAGTTATTATTATACTAAATTATTTTTATATATAGGTACTCACATAACATGTTATCTAACTCTAATTTATTATAATAATTATTTATTTTCTTAAACACAATATTTCAGGAATTAATATATTATAAATTAATTAATAATAAAAATAATTGATTTGAACGATATTTTAAAATATTGAAATAAAATAAACACACTTACTAATCAGTAATGGTAACTATAGTCCCTGTGTATTATACTATTATTAAAATAAAAATGAAACAATAGCAGAGTTCTAGTAGATAACTAACTTGCCGTGCCTATAGTGAAGAAATATGACTTTCGTAAGGTATAAAACTTATACGTTATTGAATAAAATA